AAAATCGTCACCGAGGTAAATGGAGTCATCAGTAGTAACCTAAATTTTTTACGGAAAATCCGAACTGTTCTGGTATTTTCTGGTGTACAAAAGCAGCAATCGAGTAAGTCCATAGACTAGTAGATACTTTAAATTAAAAAAGCTGACGGACACTGCGCAGATTGTGAGAAAAGTCGACGACTGGAATATGTGGAACATCAGCCCTTCTAAGACTCATTCATTTGTTTCAATGAGAAACTGATATTGGCTCGTGCCAAAACTCAGAGCCGGTCATAACTTAACTTGTGAGTAACTCCCGAAAGGAGCAACATTTTCGCCCCGAAAGGTTTACCAGCGAGTGGTTGCTATTGGCATTTACTACAGTTCTACTTCCTGAGTGCCTTCATCTCTCGCAAAGTGCGATTACGGTGAGGAGTTTTGAATTTTATTTATAATAAAATGTGATTTTCAAGAAAATCGTAAAAGAGCACTGTATGTAAAAGCGGTATGTCTCAATTGAAATAGATAATATAAAAAACTCGAGCGAAAGGGAATGTTTCGGTCCATTGAGTCGTATAAGTTCCATTTCGGTGCCACAATTGGATTTCGCTAGTATGACGGTTGTGGTGCTATTATAAAACAAACTTATACCAAATGAATTAATGCAGCCCAAAGTCGAAAAGCCTGACATAGCTATTGTTCAGCTCAAAGCAACATTTCTAGGAACAGCTTTAACATAATGAGCCCCCAGACCGACTGCCCGGGCGGCATTGATATTCCTCGTGTGCGCAAACGCTTGCAGTTCCTATCCAAACTCGGCTATCATTCAGTATCGTGCAGTACTAACCAGCGTTTTCGAGGCCAATTGGTGGCGGAATTAAACCACGTTGCTCGAATCGCCTCAAATAATTGCACAAATGTTTCAAACGTCGCTCTTTGCTCCGGCGATTTTGAAACCAAACCTGAAATCAATTATATCATAGCAGTAGTGGAAATATTTCTTAAATTCAGCACATAATCTAGTTCCACGCTAGACTTTTTTAGAAAGTTGCATTTCAAAAAAAGCATGAAACTTTAACAGATTTACCACGGAGCATACTGCTTGGATTTATCAAGCAACCGTGATCAGCTTGCTGCTGCGCAGTTTTCGAAAGAAGAATGCATGGGCAGTCTTTTCGCGAGTGATTGTTTTTGGTACTTGTAGTTATTACTTCCAACTCTCATGGGGAGTAAAACGCCCGGGAATTTGACTCTGATAGAGGATTTCAACGGGAGTAATTTATTGGCAAAGTAGGAAGGTACCTTATTTCACTTTCAAGCATAAGTACTAATTTTATTTAATTCTGAAAAAATCCCGTTATCTTGTCGAAAACCCTAAATCACCCAAAAGTTTTCTTATGCACTTAACACGTTCAGTGCTTTTGGCTACAAAATCTTTCATTCGGTTTCTAAATTTTTCCACCCGGCAGGGCAATTTTGGTACCTCTGAAGTAAAGAGGAAAATTTATGCCATTCAGTCCTGATATACGTCCCTAATAAACAGCTAGGCCTACTTTAACACAAACAGCTAGTTGAATTTCCCAGAAACTCCTGAGAAATATTTGCATTCGCGATACCTGGGTTTAACCCGAAAGTAGTAAATGTCAAGAGCAACCATTCGCTGAAAAGTCAATAGCCCTTTCTAGGAGGATTGCTTAAAAGCAAGCTGACGGCTGGTGTAACTCCTTAGCATACACTGGCACCAATTTACCATCGACATGATTGAAAGAATCGTAGAGGGATTGGCTTCCTTTTCATCATTTGAAACGAATACCTGAATGACGCGCATGCTGAGGCCAGTTTCCAGTGCCAGCTTAGCTCGTGCATGCTTCGATGGTTTTGGCGTCGATGTGAACATTCGGTTCAGTACATCTAGCTAGAAAAAAGTTTTCACTATAGAACTAAGCTCTAAGTAACAAAAATAACTAGGGGTGACAATCACTAGATCGTCCAGTTTACCCGTTGGAATTTTCCACGTAATTACACATGCTGAGCGCAACTATATTAGGCTCTTCCCTCCTCTTTGCCTTCAGTTTATAACGGTTTCCATTGTTTGGAGGACACTCAACTTTTTCGTTTTTTCTTTTTCAAGCAAGTTATGTTCACTGACACGTGACGCTAGGAACAACTACCAACGTGTCCTTCACAGCTAGCCGTTGGTCACAACGATATTTTGGTGCCCATGTGACGGAGTTCATTGGTTCTCTAAACTGAACATAATAAAAACCGCAAAGAGCTGGTCTAACTTATACCTGGTACTGTTTGATTGTGGTCCGTGGTCCTCGACGTTTCAAAAATTTTGACTCATCACCAT